AACAAAGACATGTAATAGTCCTTGATTATTGAGGCATCACTCAATTTAGTTTCCCATTCCTAATTTAGTCAGTTTTGGTCCTCTCCTTTCACCTTTTCATCAAACTTAGTTCACTATAAATTTCATCTTTATTTTCTCATCACTACAAGTTCAGAGTGCTCATATATAACCGGATGTCATATTTAGGATGTTTTTATTTGGACTTATTTCAATCCCAGACAAGACTAGATCAGTTCATACCAAACTTAATCAAACAAGACAACACCAGACTAGACCATGCCAAACTTCGACATGTATAAAATACACTGAGACCGGACATTTATTATATCAGACTAGTTCAGATCAGACTTAAACAGACCATATTCGACTAGATCGAACCAGATCAGAAAATTTCAATCCAAATAAAAGCATCTTATAACCTCAATAGCAAAGTAGAAGTCTCAATTAAATGACAAGATGAGAATTTTTCGTTCATACCAAATTGCAGCTCTCACTCCTACTAGATTTATTCCAAGACAAGTATTTGCTTCTATAAGAGTGATAGATGTGATGTATACAATCCACAGTGATTTTATAATTTGATTGGCTTGTATATGATCTGATTCTTAAAACTGCTTCTGCTCCCTATGAGGAAGCTGAAGCAGAAGTTGGAGCGTTTGGATGAAAGTGCAGAAGTACTTCTGGTGCTCTAATTTACTGCTAGAAGCAGTTTTTTTAGAAGCTGGAGGAGACCAACTTCTGAAAACTGGTTTGATTTTTCTTCTATTTTAAACAAGAAGTAGATGCCGTTCCAAACACGCTAGTAAAAAAGTTAAAGATGTTAATCAAACTAACCAAATTAATAGTCTAAGACTAAATTGGATATTACCTAGTATAGGATTACTTATCACAGTAAATCGCAATAGCCTTAAAATAATATTCTACCGTAGTAACTAAAAAACATCCTGGCAAGTAGGAGTGATCCAAGTGCTCAACTTCACACACTTAAAATGTCTATTGTGAGAAGTTTTGAGTTTAAGTCTCCAAGAAGGTGAGTTTAATTTGGGGAAGAAGAATAGGGAAGGAGGCCGGTCTGCCCGACCCTTATCGGGCGTTTACCCGTTCGCCCGGTCGGGTGGTGTAGTTGAAAAGCACAAGATTTAAGAGGACAAAACTTATCTGAATGACCAATAAAACCACATATAAAACAGAAATTGGGTAGTCTTTCATATTTGAAATCTACCCAAAAACTTTTGCCCTAGTCTATCACTTTTCTGATTATCATCCTATTTGATAAACTCCCTGATGGACTGTGTACCCGGGGGGTAGCTTATCCGAGGGGTTATTGCGGGGAATAACCTAGAGAGAATTCAGAGCAAACAAGTAAGAGAGAGAGAGAGTCGATTGTATTAATGAACTCGAGATGTTCTGGTCCTTTACAAGAGGAATAGGGGCTGCTATTTATAGCATCAATAAATGTGATGGGAGTACACGTGTTTGTAATCTAACGGCCGAGGGGTCACCTCAATCGGGGTGGCACCGGCACTCGCATGTGCACCACATTAAATGCGGTGGTTGGACGTGACGCCGCATTAAATGCTGTGGTTGCTTGTCTCCAAAGGGAATCTTCGATGATTGAGCTATTAGCCGAAGGCTCTCCCTGCGGCCGAGGGCTCTGTGTAGCCGAAGGCTTGGTTCAGCCGAAGGCTTCTCCGATGCCGAGGGCACGAAAATGCCGAAGGCTCTTGATTTCTGCCATTTTCTCTCAGTAGCTTCGTATGCTCAAATCTGGTTGTCCTGTGAGTTTTGGAGTCTTCGGCCATACTGCCGAAGGCTACCCCAGGCGCACCGTGGGCTCCTTTGAGCTTGGGCCACTGTGCTTTGGGCCTCTTTTGCTTCTTGGGCCTGTGTTGGAGTAGTGGGAGTCTGTGGGCCGGGGGTTCCCGGGCCATATACTCCATCACTCCCCTATAAAATTTCCCACACGTTTAGCAGTTCCCAGGTTAACAAGACGGTAAGGGACATTATGAATCTGAACCCAAAAAGAAGTCTCATTTAAAATTATTTTATGTGGGATATCCTCAGGCAGAACTTTCTTGAGCGTCAAAAGACTACGCTCAAATTGCCATGGCCCTCCCTCAAGCACACGCATCACATCAAAATGGTGGGAAAAAGTAAACAAAAACCTTTTATGAAGACCCCTTTTTACTCTTGTATTTTTGGGAATATTTTGTGTTGTTCTAAAAGCAACCTTTGATATTGGTGTTGATACTCTTGTCATTTTGAGGACTTCTTGAACTTGATTTGATTTACTCGAGACGAGTAAAGGGTTAAGTGTGGGGGTGTTTGATATGCACTAAGTAGTAGTGCATAAATGTGTGTTTTTAGGTTTGATTTGTGTGGGTTGTTTACCGTTTTATTTAGTTTGTAAACATTTGTGTGATTTTAGTTGTAATTGTATTTTAATCTTCATTTGTAAGTTGTAAAGTAGAATTAGGAATTATGGTGTTGAAGAGGAGGACTTTGAAGTGAAGAAAAAGGAATTTTGAATGTCGAGGAGCAAATACCCGACCAGGTAGAAGACTTCACCCGGCCGGGTCTGATTTAACAACCGAAGCATCACAGGAAATCACTGGACCCGGTCGGGTCCTCTACTTGACCCGGTCGGGTCCTCTACTTGACCCGGTCAGGTCTGATGTAAAATCCGAAGAATCACAAGAAGCTTCAAGACCTGGTCGGGTCCCCTAATTGACCCGGTCGGGTCTGACTTGACCCGGGACAAAATGACGTGCTGAAGATCACCAGAACGTGGAGGATATCCGATTTTGACCGGACCCGGTCGGGTAGGTACCTAACCCGGTCGGGTACCTGGCCCAAAGTGTTGAAAAACACCTATAAATAACACACTTTTCCTTCACAAATAATCACTCCTTCTTCCATACTCTTAAGCTCAATTTAGAATAGTATTTCTTTTATATTTTTATAGCATGTTTAGTCTCCAAATGAGGAGCTAAACTTCCATTTCTTGGTGTTGCTCTTGAAGTTTGTTGATTATTACAGTTGTGAGTTATTTTCTTAACCTCTTCCCTTGAATATTAATTCTTCCCTTAATCTATCTCTATATTAATGTTGGGGAGTGTTGCTAAGACGACAATTAGTTAACATCTCGACATTAATTACTACTAGAAACGATCAACGAACCATGGTTAATCGTTGATGGGTTTCACAAGTAAGTAACTTCGGTTTATTAATGCACAATCGTGATTAATAAACTTAAGAGTGATTAATTGTGTTGGTTAAACCAAAACCGTTGTGTTGAGGTTATCAATCTCAATTGATTTCATCAAGGAATTAAGAGATTAAATGCTACTATTAAATCGGTATACGACGTTGTTCTATATTTTATTAATAGTAAGGGTTATTAATGAACGGTCGTTGTTAATAACTACCCTCGGTAAATTGGAGATACTCCTCGATTGAGTATTCGAGAGGGGATAAGTTATAGATATAACAATGATCGACTAAAATATATCAACAAGTGAAAAGTAGCAAGACCAAGCTCTTTTTATTCTTGAATTAAATCACATATAAGTCGTTCATCTTCGTGTTTAATTAAATTAAATCACTCAATCCTAAAACCCCCCTTTTTATTTACTAGTATTATTAAAAAGAGAATTATTCCTTTCCTTGTGGATACGAACTCTACTTCACCTATACTACGTTTAAGTGTTAGTATCGAATTTATTTTGACGCACCGTGACAAAGTGTTTGTCATGAAGTTTCGTCGTACATCTGCTGCGGACATCTCATTGGAGAGTTGGAGAAGACGACTGTATGACTGAGGTGATGTCGTTTCTGATAGACCGATTTTGTGCCTACTTCAACTGGGAGAGTGGGAGATTTCGATTTTTGGTGTTTTCTAAACAAGAGGCAGTTGGGTTACCCTAAGAAATAATTACATATTCATGACTAAAATAAACATTGTTTAAAAAATGTGACTAGTGACTAAAGTAGTAATGAAATCATAGTAAATTATGTTCATTTTAAAAACTTAAGTTACCATGACGTTACATTATAGTAATTATTAGTTATGTTTTTGTAAATAAATTTTATTTTGATAATGTTTTCTTAAGTTATGTGTGCTCATTTAATATTTGAGCATACTAATATTTTAAATGAATGTTTTGATTTTTGAATTATCAATGCTCATTTCATAAGTTATGTGCTCATTTGATGTTAGTGTAATGCTCATTTTAAAATGTCATATTCATGCATATTTCAAAAGTATAATATTACACTAGATTCGCATATTGAACTCATACAGGTTCATTATAGATTTTCTATAAAAAAAGAAAGAAAATGAATTACAAGATATGAAGCAGACGTCACGATGTTTAGTACTTTACTAGTAACTAGTAATACTCAACAAAATTTGTCTGGTGCTTAAGTGTATTAGTGTTCATTTAACAGAAGCTATACACACTTCTGTTAGATGGTAAAAGGACTTCTATTATGATGTTCTTAGACCATCTCCACTCATGATCTTAAAATAAATGGTTTTTCTATGACACATCATTGACACATCATATTTATTAAATAAATTTTAAATAATCTCAAATCTTAAAACTCTCCATCAACCATGATATTCAAATAATTAGTTTTTCTAGACCATGCATTAAATGAAATTTAACTACAACCTAAAATAATCTGGGATTCAAATCCTGATACTGGATTATCTTTTTCAATAATCTCTCTAAATAATCTCTCACTCACAATGATAATCTTTAAAATAATCTTACACATCATCCAATTAAACTCTAAATAATCTAAACAATGGGGATGCCCTTACTTGGACTGAATTTTTTTGGTATGATCCGATAAATGTGGTGTATTTTATAATTGTCCAACTAAAACATAAAAAGCAGAGTGAAACTGTGAAAGAATATTATGAACCTGGGAGATTTAATAATGGAAGAACTGACCGAAGAAGAACGAAAAGCTCTTAGAGGAAGCAAATTTGCTCCTCTGCCCTCCGCCGCTCCACCCCGTCATCAACCCAGGTACTACCCGCTTCCTAGGCAGTTCGTGCGTGCCCTCCGCTTATAAAGTATCAATTAAGTTTTGTGTTTAGGCTGGCTCATCCGGGTGGACCGTTGAAGACGAACAAGGCTGCAGCTTTGGCGAAATTTCTCGACAGGAAATTGAAGGAGCCGAATGGATTGTCTTCTGTTGATCCAAGACTCGTCGAGCTCGCTGTAAGAAATGCTAAAGAGACTGTCCAATCAAGTAAGTACTGTTTTCTTTGCATTTTGCTTTTTATCTGCTTTGATTGTAATCAGTGGCGGAGTCAGAAATACGGTCCAGGGGGGTCGAGAATCAACTTTATACAAAATGAAAACGATGGATCGTTTCCAAACAATGTCCGAGTTGAATATTTTATATGTAGTTTAGATAAATAGGCACTCGTGACAATAAAAGAGACTGTTTTTGCTCTATTTTTGAGTCATGTCACGTAAGTAATGAGTTAATTACGCTATTTTTAAAATTTGGGGAAAAAATCAATATTACTCATCAAATTTTGCTGATTTTACGTTTAGATAGTGTTGATTTTGAAGAAGTCATAACTTTTTACTCGTAATGAGTTACGGGGGCCATAATATATCAAATCGAAGATATTTCAGAGCTCTATGCTCTCAAACTTTCAGCGGGGTCGACTGACCCCCTGACCCCCCCTTGGCTCCGCCCCTGATTGTAATCCGTATACTGATTTGTATGTTTCTCTATGAACTCATCAAAACCACATGAACCACTGGCTCAAACAACATATGCATATATACACAGACCCATATAATTCAATGTGTACATTGTACAATAGCTATCCGTGTGCTATAAGTTTTTTATTTTAATACAGCATTGAGAGTGTACTGGAGGGAATCAATCGTAAAAACTTGCCAGTATGCTTTTTTACATTATTTTATAGCACTAGAAGTTTCATTCAGCATTTCAACCGATCCGACTAGTTAGGATGTAGGTGGTGGTAGCAATGATGGTTATTATTATCATATTTTTTTTATCATTGAAAGCGTACTGGAGGAGCAAATATACTTTATGTATGTTTTATGGATAAGTTGTAATGCTGTATGTGACATATCATATTGGGGATGAATGTTGAATTGGGTATAATTGGTTTATTCACATGTCCCAAAGAGGTAAAATCTGTATTGTAGAAGAAGCTTTGACTAGTGCCCCTTTAGAAGAGTCTGGTTCGGCATCTAGTCTTGCAGCAGAAGTCAGAAGGTTTCCTTGTGCGTTGTGATATGCTTATATTATTGGAACATGTGATATTTTAATATTGGTTTACATTATATATTTTCTTAGCCTATATTATTGCATTTAAGTGCATGGCCCATGTAATAGGAACAATGTTCCTTCCTTGTATTATAAATAGACATACGTATGGTGTGTATACAAAAAAATATGAGAGAGAAGAGTTATTCTCTGAATCATTCTCGTGCGTTTAAAGTCATGCTCTCAGTGAGCTTTATTTCTCCATCTTCACTTAATATAAGTTTTATCATGGTATCAGAGCCGAAATTCTGGAAACATAAATTCTAGTTTTTCGCTCTCTTGTTTTTTTTCTCACTATGGCAGTAGGTGATTCTATCAATAAACTCAGCTATGAAGCTTTGGGTTGTATTTCTTGTGCCCAAGTAAATATGGCATATACATTGCCACATTCTCGTCCTTGGATAATTGATTCTGGAGCTACTGAACATATCACTTGTAGTGATACTAATCTTTTCAATATCATCAATCATGTGTCGGAATCCTCAGTCACAATTCCTAACGGCGAATCAATTCCGATTCATGCTGTCGGAAGTTTATATTTACCCAATGGGCTCTGTCTTGAACGTGTTCTATATATTCCAAAATTTCAATGCAATTTACTTTCAGCTAGTCGCTTAACAAGTGATCTAAATTGTACTCTGACATTTTTCCCAGACTTCTGTATTCTGCAGGACGTACCAACGAGGAAGCTGATTGGCGTGGGTAAATTTCGTGATGGTCTTTATTACTTGGAATCTCAAGAAAGTGAAAGGGTGGCAATGTCAGTCTCTATTAGTTCAGATATATGGCATCAACGGTTGGGACATGCATCTGATGGAAAATTACATCATATTAATTCTCTCAAGGGTTTTCGACGGAGTGATAATTTTTGTGATCCATGCATCCGTGCTAAGCAGACTAGACTGCCATTTCCTACAAGCTCCATTAAGACAACTCGCTGTTTTGAATTGATACATTGTGACATATGGGGAGGCTATAGATGTGATTCACTCTCTGGAGCACGGTATTTTCTATCTATTGTTGATGACTTTACTAGAGGTGTGTGGGTTTATTTAATGAAAAATAAATCTGAAGTATCCCAATTTTTAATTCAATTCTGCAATATGGTTGAGACCCAATTTGAGCAGAAGGTGAAACGAATACGGGCAGATAATGGTTTAGAATTTCAAACCAACAACTTATTTGATTATTATGGACGGGCTGGAATTTTATTAGAAACATCATGCACATACACACCACAACAAAATGGAGTTGTGGAACGTAAGCATAGACACATATTGGAGGTTGCAAGGGCACTACGTTTTCAGTCTGGGTTACCTATTGATTTTTGGGGAGAATGTATTTTGACTGCTGTTTACATCATTAATAGGCTTCCATCACCCATTATTTCTAACAAAAGTCCTTTTGAAATGCTATTTGGGAAAGTGCCTAGTTATGATCATTTGCGTGTATTTGGATGTTTAGTATATGCACATGATAACAAACGAAAGGATAAATTTGGTGAAAGAGGAAGTCCTTGTGTATTTATAGGCTATCCGTATGGTCAGAAGGCATATCGAGTTTTTGATTTACAAAAACACACTGTTTATCACTCTCGAGATGTGACTTTTTATGAAGAAAAATTTCCTTTCAAAATTGGTTTGGATCAAGAACTTGATTTTTCCTCACTTATCAACAAAGTTTACAATCAAATTTTGTGCCATGAGTGCCCTACGACACAGCCACATAACAGCTCACCTAGTAGCATTGTACTTCGTCCGATGGCTATACTCGAACAACCTTCATCTGAGCAGGACGATTGCAGCCCCACACCAGCTGCGGCGGCCAGCTTGGAGCCTGATTTATCATGTGATGAGCAGCCATATACGTCCCACGTTGATCAGCTACAACATATGTCTACCGCTGGTCCTTCACGTGGTGCAGCATGCCTTGACCACACATCAAAAGAAAAGGACAACCTGCTGCCTAGTACGGTCCTACTTCCACCTCACGAGAAGCTTCCCACATATAATAATAATAGTGAACAGCAGCAGCCCCCTGAAAACTCCACATGTGAATTATTATCTCCTAATGGACCCACATTTAAAAGGAAAGTTAATGAGCTGCGTACTGATGCTACCATCCAATTTGGAAATCTGCCCACTAACTTTGACATTTGTGGACAAAGAACAAATGATGTGGGTCCCACTCCATCATCATGCATTGAACCTCCCATTCATCAAAAAAAGGAGTGATAGGACTCGAAGACTGCCGAAGCATTTGGATAATTTTGAGACTGACTTACCCCCTTCACTTGATCATTCACGGCCCACCGCCAGTTCAGTTAACTCAACGGTATATCCTCTTTCTGACTTTATCAGTTATGAAAAATTTTCCTCCTCACATAAAGCTTTTCTAGCGGCCATCACCTCACGTGATGAGCCCAAATATTTTTCACAAGCTGTACAGGATCCTCTGTGGAGAGAAGCCATGCAAAAGGAAGTCAAAGCATTGGAAGAAAATGGAACATGGACATTGGTCGAGTTACCTCCTCACAAAAGAGTGGTTGACTCTAAATGGGTTTATAAAATAAAATATAAACCTAATGGGGAGGTGGAACGTTATAAAGCTAGACTCGTTGCCAAGGGTTTTACACAGGTAGAGGGAGTTGACTTTCATGAAACTTTTGCGCCGGTTGCTAAACTTGTTACTGTGCGGTGTCTATTAGCAGTTGCAGTCAAGCAAAATTGGGTGGTACATCAACTGGATGTTAATAATGCATTTCTCCATGGAGATCTTTCAGAGGATGTGTACATGCGTATTCCCCAGGGATTTACGAAAGGCGGTGACACCCGTGTTTGCAAATTACACAAATCTTTATATGGATTACGTCAGGCCTCTCGTAATTGGTACCATAAGTTCACTCAAGCTCTTACTAAAATTGGATTTTGTCAATCCCAAGCAGACCACTCATTGTTCATCTTCCGACAGAACTCCATTACTACATTTGCTCTTATTTATGTGGATGATGTTATTCTAGCCGGAAATGACATCACCCATATTAACGAAGTAAAAGGGTACTTGGATACCGCATTTAGCATTAAAGACTTGGGTAAATTAAAATATTTTCTCGGTATTGAAGTTGCTCGCTCTCCTGAGGGTTTTGTCTTGAGCCAACGCAAGTATACTCTTGATATTTTGGAAGAGAGTGGACTTCTTGCAGGACGTCCTTGTTCATTTCCTATGGAACAGAATTTAAAACTTCGTCCAAATGATGGTAGCCCGCCAGTAGATGCATCTTCCTACCGCCGTCTTATTGGGCGTTTGTTGTATCTTACAGTGACTCGTCCGGATATTGTTTACTCTGTTAGTCAACTCAGTCAATTTCTCAGCAATCCACGTCAAACCCACCTTGATGCGGCCATACGGGTTCTCCGCTATTTGAAACAAACACCTGGCCAAGGCATATTTCTCTCATCGGAGAATGATTCCACATTAAAAGGTTATTGTGATGCCGATTGGGCAGGATGCTCGTTTACCCGCCGATCTAGCACCGGTTACTTCATCACCCTTGGGCACTCACCTATCTCTTGGCGAACAAAGAAACAGTCGGTTGTCTCTCGCTCTTCCGCTGAAGCAGAATACCGTGCCATGGCGGTTACAGTTAGTGAAATTTTGTGGCTACGATGGTTGCTCAGAGATCTCACAGTTCCTCAGAAGGGTCCCACACCCCTTTATTGTGATAATCAAGCTGCTCGACATATTGCGCTCAATCCAGTTTTCCATGAGCGTACTAAGCATGTTGAGATAGATTGCTTTTTTGTACATGAAAGAGTTGCCACAGATGAAATCCAACCACTATCCATCTCCACAGCCAATCAGGTGGCTGATATATTTACCAAAGCACTTGGAGCAGAACGTTTTCAGTTTCTTCGAAGCAAGTTGGGTGTTCGTAACCTTCACACTCCATCTTGAGGGGGAGTATTGGAACATGTGATATTTTAATATTGGTTTACATTATATATTTTCTTAGCCTATATTATTGCATTTAAGTGCATGGCCCATGTAATAGGAACAATGTTCCTTCCTTGTATTATAAATAGACATACGTATGGTGTGTATACAAAAAAATATGAGAGAGAAGAGTTATTCTCTGAATCATTCTCGTGCGTTTAAAGTCATGCTCTCAGTGAGCTTTATTTCTCCATCTTCACTTAATATAAGTTTTATCATATATGATATGAACTTAAGCGATGCTTTACGGGCCTATCGGTGGATGAAGAAGCCAAGAAGATAAATTGCTCTTGCCTATGCGATACACTAGAGATGCAAACGGGGAACAAGAAGAGGGAAAGATGAGTTGGATGGAAGAAAGCTTTGAAGAATTATTTTATTCAATTTCAACGCCTCTTTCAATTGCATAATGCCTTCAACTTTCCTATTTAAATGAATTGCAATTTTTTGAAAGGAAAGACAACAAGAAATGAAATCTGTCATAGCTAATTTAGAACCAATCAGTGTACCTTGGTTTTCTGATGCATGCTACATTGCAAGGGTATACAGAGAGTAAAAGAGCAGTGAAGTAGAAGTTTGAGGAGAGTGACATGGCTGTTTGGTTTGCTCAAATATGGTTGATTGCTTTCATTTATTTTGATTTTCATACCTTCTTTTTCTTATCTAATTTAGGAAGCAATTTGCTAGGATTCCGGAAAGTGTTCCAATCTAGTTAGAACTTAGAAAGAATGTGAATCGACTGCTTTAATGGCTGCAGTGTTAGTTGCACCTTTTACACTGCTTTTTGCAGCTTGTGCAGTTGCCCGAGGCTTATGCACTTGTGTTGTTCCTTCAGTATCTCTGTCTCTCTGAGAGGAGCATGTGTCAATCATCCGTAAGTGCTGCATTTCCTCAATGTCTGCAACGGTATCAAAATTTTATGTACAAGGATTCTTCATATCAACATAATGAGTTAAAAGGGTAAATGGAAGGGGGCTGTGGAGTTTTAGGGAGTTTAACTTCTCTTTTAGAACTTTGGAAGTTGTCCTCCTTGATTTCTTTTTAGTTCTTTCTTCGATATATTATTAGCAAACCAAAGCTCCCCTTTTATAGTAGGCATTACATGTAGAAATACCTAAAACAGGGAAATGAAGAATCCACAGATCACTTCCTAAAGTAAAGATATTAAAATAAAATTAAGATACACCAATCAAGCAAATCAGTTAGCTATCACTCTCCGCAATCGCCTACATGATTGCTCTTCTATCTTTCCATAATCTTATAGTGTAGCAAGCATCATTTGATGCATTTCTCCATTAATGTATTCAGTCCCCTATATTATAATTCGTAAATTACGATCTGCACATCACGTTGGCTGATTTTTGATAACGATGAAGCTTTATTTGTTTTCATCTGTCTATTTTTTTTTTACTCCAGGGGGGTCTGGGGGGCCTGGAGTAATCAAGGCTGAAACTCACTCCATTGAGTTCCCAACTAGGCTCTTTAGCTTCTCTGTTTTCGTAATTAAGGGTCCATTTGGTACCATGTTTAGTTTTATGTTTTACTTAAGAGTTAAGACATACAATATATGGTGTAATGATCTAAAACATACTCATATTCATAGTAATTGATGGAGAATATGTCCCAGGACCCCTGGCCCAGGGGTCCACATGCTCGAACTACACAAATATAGGCCCAACAAGCCACAAGAAGCCCAACAAGAAACCAACCACCCCTTGAGTGGGCCGCCAAGTGTCATAGGAAACAACAACACCCATTATGGGCTACTGACAAAACCGACTCGGAAGGAACCTGTCATCCACCAGACCCCTCGGCATCCGAGGGTGGAGTCCTCGACCTTGTCCCAAAGACTCTCGTTCCGTCATCAACCAACGCTCACCAGAGACATTTGCTGCACCGCGACATGCCCATTTATGTCCTACATTAGAGCTCTCCAGTCTCCACCATAGTCTAGCTTACACATGTACGTGCATTTAATGCACTTAGCATTTATGACTAGTATAAATAGTCTCCCTTTGGGAAGATGTAACAGTTTGAGCTTCATTAATACCATACACATTTCTCTCTTTAACTTGTTAGTTCTGCCTTCTCTTTACATACTGCTAGTGGAATTCCAGTTTAGCTAGCTATCAGTAATCATGTTAGTTTTGGAAGCTGCCAACCAAATGTCTAAAACCAACTTTTTCTGACATTCACAGTTTTGTTGTTAGTTCTCAAGAAAACAGAAACCAATTCCAATGAGGCTTAAGGTAGTAATTTATTGTTTTGTGTATTACTTTATTATCATAACCAGTTATATTGTACTAACACATAGAAAAATTGTAAGACCATTGGTTTTCAATATTTAACTAGAGTTTGCTGAGTATTTTTTTTACTCCCTCAGTCCCTCCCTAAGAAAGAGTCATATTTGCAAAACTTTTTATTATGAGTAATGTCAGGTTTTAAAAGTAAACTTTATATTCAACTAAACTTTCTGCAAAGCGAAATGGCGTGCGGTTTTTTTTCAATAACTTCAAACAATTTTTATATATTTTATAGCATTATAGATAATCATTCATATTTTGTAAAACTTTGCAGTTAGATCAGGACACTAAAAATAAAAAAGTTGTACCTTGTTAAAAAATAAAGAATGTTATTTAGTATTTACCTGTGCATAAATTATGAAGCGTTGTGGAGAGGTTAGAGGTTATAAGTCTGTTAGAACCTGAAATCTTTAAGATTGGAAGAAACTATAAATTTGCTAAAATTTTTGTATTGACTCAAAAATAGTGGCTAAGCGTTACAATTTGTGGAAATTAGCTCAGATGTATTCGTTTTGAATCTAATTTTTTTGAGTGGTGTCCACTGAAGATCTTGAATTTGTGGTCAGGTCTGTGTTTATATGTATTGTAATAAGTAAAAAGCTTTATTTGATATATTTACTTTATCCCCTTCACATGTAAATTGTAAAGTATAGATAATGGTTTGTGCTTAGACAAGTTAACTTCCCCACTTTCTTTGTAGCACACGAAGTTCGAGTCCCGGTCCAACCATAGCTTCCCTAACCTGACTCACATGTTTGTCTAAATATTGAATGACACACTAATTGGGTTAAATAAAAATTTGTAATCTTCATTTTGATTTCCAAATAACAATTTTAATGGCCAGTCAATGAACCATCTTTCCTCCTCAAATAATACTTGATATGTTCAGCCTTTGGAACTCAAATACACACCCAATCATACTGATTCCGCAAGATTATGTTCTTCCTATTTTCTCATCCTTTAATTGGTTTGTTCTCGAGGTGAAACTGAAGTGTGGGATGATTGATGCTTCAAACGACTGATGCTGCCTGCACATTTTGTTGAATACACGTTGATAGGTACGTCGGAATACCACTAGCAGTAAGTAGAGAGAAGGCAGAGATAAAGAGAGAGAAGTGCGTATGAAAGTGTCCCCTAGATAGGACCCCTCTATCTTGCCTAGGCAACGCTGTACGGCGTCAATTATGTCATCTTTGTGGTCCCTGGTGGCAGTCTCCTGCTGCCGGTGAGAGGCCGCCCTCCCCGAGTGCACATAGTTGATTTTGTGGTTGGCGTCCTGAGCATAGAGGGCCTTCTTTCCCTTGTCACAGGGGGGTCGTTGTTCCGTTTCCTCGGAAATCGAACCCCGACTGCTCTCTTGTGCAGAGGCACAACTCTGTGCCTTGGCAGGTTCGCCGAGCCGGTCTTGGACTGTGCGGCATGCTTGATTTTCCCCTAGCTTAAAAGTTGAATGGTGAGATGGTTTGTGATGACAACATACCTTTCCACGAGAGAGGGCTTCATGTGAGGCGGTGTCCTGAGCGTTGATGCCTTTGGTATTGCCGATATCATGAGGCGGCAGTGGTGGCGGCAGTGGTGGCGGCAGTGGTGGCGGCAGTGGTGGCGGCAGAGTCACATTCTCGCCTGTATGAGGGATGAGGGTGCCAAGGGCAGCCGCATTTCGGATTAAGCTGTTGATGAAAGCCAAGAACGCGGTTTGAACGTCATTGACCTGTGTTGGAGGCATGTGTTGTTGGACGCTGGGGGTCTGATCACTTCGTTCTTTCCTTCAGCCCTCGATCTAGATGCAAGGATCGGGGGCGTTTTGCTCAAGGGTCGTGCAGAGGTTGATAGCGATATGCTCCTGTTTGTTGAGAATGCCAGTGCCCTCAGCGGCCCTCCTAGCCATGGACAAGGTTGTGGGCTCAACTCCCTTCTTGCGGTTCTGGCGGGGTCCATGATGATTTGTTTGGAACCTCTGGTCTTTCTCATTAGTTCCGAGGGGTTGTATATAAGGGGAATTATGGTTTGAAATAATTTATTGGTTTGTTATGGAGGGAAATGGAGAGGAAATAGTGGAATTTCCATGCCTAAATTAGAACAAATTGGGAGGAACTGAAGAAGCACATTCTCTTAAGTTTTCTCTTAACCGGCTATAGTTGGGTTGGATTAAAACTCATACATACTTAAGGTACAAATAATTGGTATTATGTCTTTTGTGTATGGATGGCTTGAGTTGTGATTCTTGCGGCATTTTATAGTACTAGAAGCTTTCATTTGAAAGAGTAAAAATTTGATTTTTTAAAGAACTGAATAATCATTCAGTTTTCAGTTTTTGGAGAATGCCAGAATGTCAGTTCAGTTTTTGGTATCCCGATTTCGGTTCGGGTCTTGAACCAAATCCCACCCTACTTCAACCAGTGTTCCTTTTTTTAGCTATGAAATAGGCCTTTCATTCACTAATAAGCAAACAAACTCAGAAATCAACTCTTTGTAGTAGTTTGGGAATAATTAGATTCACCAAAATTGAAATTGTTCTAATACTTCAAAATAAAAACAAAATGAAATGATACAATAATATTAACCAACCCTCACAAAATTCCAACCCAAAAGCCTCTTGCTCTCAGGAGGACGATGAGGCAGACTTGTACCTTGGAGCTGCTTGAGTGCCTTCTCTGAAGTTGCTCTTGAAACGACGGGGAACATTACGGAGATACCTCATGTGGCCAGTTCCGGTGGTCTTTCTACGGATCGCCTTCGCACTCCAATTGTACTTTCTAGTGCGAGCAGCAGGGTAAGCACAGGCGGAGCATCGGCTCTTCTGCAGATGGAAGCTCCGGCGACCACACCTCACGCAGAGAGTGTGAGTCTTGAAACCAGTGTTCCTTCCAATTGCTATATATATGCCTGTGTGTTGGAAGGATATCAATGTAATTTATTTCTAGATTGTGTTAAGATTGGATCAGTTTTTAAATGCAATATGCCCTTGCTACTTGCTACACAACAAGAAATCACATTCAACTTTCATTTTTAACAGAAGAGTGGTTAATCTTTTGTGCCTTTTCCATATCTGGTAGTCACAGTAATGTATTTCAACTTTGTGATGAGCAGGTGGAACATCTAGATCAGGAAGATTAATTCAGCATGTGGATTCTTTTGGTGAATATGAGGTGCTTTATTCTACATCAGTGGCTGCATTTTGGTTTCTACTCAACCTTTTTTAAGTTACTTTGATTACCTTTGGAAGTGTGATAAACCTTGCAGCATTCTTCCGATGGGGAGGAGGTAAAAGTTTCTGTGTGTACAAAAAAAAGTAAGAAGCAGAAAAAGAAAAAGAAGAAGGAAAAGAGAAGCAAAAAACAGGTAGTTAACTAACTTGAGATTTATCAACTTTGTCTGTATACACAATTGTCCAACTTAGACTTGATAAGTTTTGCTTATTTATATTTTGCAGAAGTTGGATCATTCCGACTGTTAATGGATGAAAACCCCCAAAAAGAAGCAGAAACTGTAATATTTTTTTTTGAGTGAGCAAGAAAGCTATGAACTCTTTTGGATGCAAATGCAGTTGAGTTCCCACATTAAGTGACGTTTTTTTGCACTTGAAATGCAATGTTGTGAGGACTGACGGGTTGTGATGACAAGAAGCTTAGCAAAAAATTGTAACTTGGGCTCAATGGCGACCTTTGGATCTCAAAAATTGTTATTGGAATGAAAGAAATGCCAATGAAGGGTTTTCTTTTATGCTTGGATTCACCTTGCAAAATGCAATGGAAAGAGAAATGATAAATGCTTCTTGGATATGAATAGATCATTTTGTACTTGCATCATATCATTTTCATTTTCATTTACCCAGTGCCGCAAAGGCTCCCACCTACGGTGGAGTAGGGGGGGTCAGATGTACGCAATCGTACCCCTATACTTGCATCATATAAATATATAAATAAAAATGAATTCAGAAAAATATTATTTACATGCGTCAAGTTTGTGTTAGGTTTGAAATAATAAAAATAAAAATGTGATTCAAAGTAGAAATAAGCATAACCATAAATTATTTACCTTGAAATTGGTATAGTTTGTGGGACAACTAAAAATGAAAATTGATCAAATCCACTAAAAGGGAGTAAAATTTAATTCAGCTTGAAACAATGTTTTTTTGTTGCTCCAAACACATCTTCACCGTTCAAATCCCTTTTTGCCCAAAGCCTACATTAATTGAGACACTTTGACATGTAAATTTTGGATTTGAGAAACTTGCAATTTTAGTCTTGTGTAATTTTAATGATATCCTTTATTAGTTTGGTAATTTTAGTCACTTGTAAATATGATCATGTAATCAAAAAATCTTTGCAATGTAGGGACTTTTACATTAAAAAGTATACAATCCGGCAAAAGAATTCTTGGAAAAGATATAGTCGGTGTCCAATTTCTTTTTGCCGGAAATAGCACTTTTGGGTGGGAAAGTCCCTAAATTGCAAAAGTTTATTAATTACAAGACACAATTTGTAAGTGGGTAAAGTTATCAGACTAAGAGCGATCATATATAGCCCAAAGTTACAAGACTAAAGTTACAAATTTCCCTTTTATTTTTAATACTCATGAAATCATGTTTAGGGGTCGCGAAGCTTCAACAATTATAATCCCCTCTTAAGCATTGCTAACATATTTTAAAATTTCTTATTTAGACCATCGTCAATCTATTTAAGGATAGGTGAAAGTAATCTGGATGATTGTGTATCATTATCTTGAGTTTTGGTATGATCTATTCTATTGAAGTGTTATGATCAGCTAGTTATGCCCTGATAAGTTTTATTAAGTTATGATCTGTAAATTATGCCACATTGTGAATCATATGAATATGTAAAACAAAATTTGTTATGTAAATGAATGACAAATGTTCAAGATATGATTAACGTATGTTATATGATTTGATCTGCTCAATTTGTGTGAATTACCTATATATGTTGAGCACAACATAGAACGTGTCACTCGACTTTTGATGAGTGTGTAAATGTTTTTCCTATACATAGGTTGACTTCCATGATGTGGAGGGGAATCCACGACCCATTACGTTTTTTTAAGTTATATACTGTAGTTTGTTTTAAAAGGGTTTTTTTTGTTTGATCGGACTTTGACCCACACAATTGTAGTTCTTTTTTTAAACCCGAGGGGGCAACAGGCGAGGAAAGTGCAGGGATAATCATGGGATCAATTTCACTCCATTGAAAATTGAACCCGGGACCTCGATCTCATAAGGGAGAGTGAGTCAACGGTCAGCTGGAATGGACCGCTTCCTCCCCACACAATTGTAGTACTTTGTATTTTGGTTAACAATTGGTTTACTTATACAAGTCCTTTATATTTAAGTCTAATTAGTTAAAAAAAAAAATTGGATATGAAATCTACTAACATCTAGCCACTGGGGTCGAATTGGATTAATCGAACTGTTCAGGTTAAACTCTTTTACAATTGTGAGATACAAACTATTGCAGCTGCTTGATATAAACTATTGGTATAAAGAATTTATGTTTTGGCTTAAAAAGCTTGAATAGGATACAAATAAGAATATTAATTGTGATTAGAATACTTTTCGAGTACAAATAAGAATTTTGATATTTAGTGATATTAGACACTTTTCATATATGAATGATATATACATGTTCCCTCCTAAATATATATCATTCATTTTTGAAACTTATTGTTTCATTTTCAGCTTGTTGCTTTGTGGTAATAATTTGGAATTGAAGCAGATTGGTCGATGATTTTGTGCGAAATAAATTGTGACAAAATGTTATTTCTACGGATTTAGCATATCGTGTCAAATCCTCAATGAATTTTTGGTGAATGTATGCCAAAAATTCACACCAATCTCGTTATTTTTTTGTAGTAAATTCCGAAGTTCTAGTCAGTGGTTTATTTACGTTTCATATGTGTTTTATATTCTTGATTTATAAAATTGTTTTGTGCATATTGCCTATTGCGTTTCCACATGGAAAAATCAAACATAAAATAAAGAAAAAGAAACAGGACTTCTAGTTGACTATTTGTACTCCGTATATTTTAATTCTAACTACAATGAGTAATGATATATCTTAATGTTCGAACTTTGAATACAAGTGAATATATTCAATTAAGTAACTGGATCAAACATGAGTAAATTTGTTATCTTCAAATTGTGAAGATGAAATTCCACTTTTAGTTCTATGAATATTGCACCAATTCCACAATTGATCCACGTATTTAATTTGATCATTTTAGGTACATGATTATTGTTTTTCGCTCAAATATGATGTTTCCGTCAATGTTTCCAATGGTTAAAATCGCCGGAAAGTGATCACAACTGATCAAATATCAAAAGTGGATAAAATGAATGATGTTGATTAAATGTAGAATTGACATAAAACTCATCAGACGATAATAGAATTTATTCAATCAATTCTAGTTAAATACACCTTCTTAAGTTGAATATACAAATATGAAATGCAAATCAAATGGATAGATATTTAATGGGGTTGGTTTTCAAGCGGCGGGCCAAAAACGGTAAACTGTAAGCTTCTTCAATACTAGACCCCATGTGGATGTCCTATAATTAAGCATATATTTGTCTCTACTCTAAGTTGAAGATGCAGATGAAACCACAATGTCTCCCACCGTCCCATTTACTCTCTTCTATCTTCCCTATTTCGTACTTTGGATTCCCAAACAGCCTGTGGCGGCTTTCACAAAATAGGAAAACCTGGTTTCCTTGTTAATCTCTTTCACTTTTATTAGTTCACTTTTCTTTTTAGTTCGTCTTAAAATTATGTCAATTCCCCTTTTCAAAATACTAAGTCTAAGTTAAAATACAAATTCAAGTACTTGAGTACTTCTAGTGGTTCATTTTAGGATTTCTACGGTTTTCAGCTGTTTTTTCTTGTAAAAAAAGTATAACCCCTATCTTAGGGTCCTCACTACTGAAAGGACAGTTAATTGGGAAGATTTAAACTATTTTGTTTCTTGTAGAATTTAAAAAATAATTACTCCTTCCGCCCCCATAATATTGGGACGAAAGGGAGTGATGTGAGTTTTAAAAAAAGTAGACTATGTTATTGATGATGAAACAAGACTATGAGAATAAAATAAGAATGAATTAGAGTCACACAAATGTATCAAATATGGTATGAAACAATAATAGAATGACATCCAAAAATGAGAAAATGAGACAATTATAGGGGGAAAAATTATGGATTACGGATTTGCTTCTCTCCAAAGTCCAAAGTGATAATGGGAAAAAGAATTCAAGGACGACATAGAAGCGGTATTACTCCTATACTAATAATATTATAATAGGATCAGATTGTGTTTATAGAGAAAAGAAATCAGTTTCCTATGGGGCGATTTTGATTTTGTAGTTGGTGTGGTGGCAGCAGTTCAAAATTTTACCCACACGTTTGCAATTCGGGTTTTTAAACAGAGGCTAAGTACAGCCTATCGGATATTGGCCCAGGCACAACGTAGGCTGGGTACTTGAGAGGAGGCTTTGAAGGGAATTCTGCTTGAGCCTTTGAAGATGCCTGCTTAGAGCCTATCTAGTGACCATATTTTTTGGTGTATCGGTATTATCCTCCAATTTTTCAAGAAACACGTAACTTTTGAGTTTGCACCCTGAGTTTTGTAATGATCAAAATAAGTAAGATCGGAGTTATTTTTCAAGCTACATTGACTGAAGTTACTGCAAATGACCATTTTAGCAATTTTTCATACTCCGTATAAGTTTTCATAATTCTGTAAAATCAGTCAATCCAGTCACTTCAGTCAAGACTTCATAAATTTCAGCACAACCAACCAATTGAAGCATTATGGAACGAGATCTTAGCTTGAGGTTAAATAGGATTAAATAGTGTTGCATATAGAAAAAGAAATAAAGACTTCGTGATCACAAGCATATCAACAATCTGTTATAGTAGTCCGGCCCGTTCATAAGAGCGGACGTGGATATGTTACCTACTACGTATCTGTTATGGTCTTATGGATAGGGCCCAACCACCTTTGTGGGAAGAAATATAGTGAAAAGTTTAGAGGATTTTGCTTGGGTACACAAAATGTGTATCCAAAATAGTACACATGTCTGTCCTTTAGAAAAATTTGTCTGTTACAGACAATTCATTATGAGTTGTCTGTGACAGACAAATTTTATTCGAAAGACAGACATGTGTACACATTTTGTGTACCAAAAGCATTTTCCAAAGTTTGATCATAGCCTGATTTTAGAGGTCTATACTAACAGTTGCCATGAATTTATACCTATTAGACATTTACCCTTATTTTTTGTATACGTTTGATTTTATTCATCTTCAATTACTCTTTTTTGAAATCCAATACTCCCTCTGTAACTTAAAAACCTTCTCATTTCAAAAGTAAGAAGATTAAGAATAGTGAAAGAGGATATGAATTATTGAGGGTATGATGAGAAGATAGTGGAATAATGTGATGGAATGTAGGATAAATCCAAAAAAAGTAGTTGTAATAGTGTATTATTTTTAGAATTATTGAGGGTATGATGGGAAGATTTAGAAATGAGAAGATTTTTTGTTTGTTACGGACGAAAAAGGAAAGTGAGAAAATTTTTAAGTTATGGAGGGAGTAGAAGTTATAGGACTATTTTTGGCAAAACAACTAGAAAAACAAAAACCGATATGAAATCGCGGGACTAACTAAAACATAATTTTAATTTTCGAGACAAATCGAATCGAATTTTGTACTAGTTGGATATTTGATTTTGACGAAAAACGAATAATCCGAACCTATCCTACGAACTGTGGTGTTAGTGTCTTGTCTATGACGATTCTTTAGTAATTAAGAATTGTAAATATGAATTTATTAATTACGACCAAGCTTTTACCAACTTTTTTGCACTCTTAAAATGGCCAAATTTTTCTTCAAAAGTCTATAGAAAGATCTAATATATCACA